CAAAGATGTTGTGTCCGCCGAGAACTAAGAAATAAATATTAAAAATTCTCTCTCTCTCTCTCTCTCTCTCTCTCTCTCTCTCTCTCTCTCTCTTAAAAAAAAAAAAGACTAGATGTACTAACATATCATTGATCATTGAATAAAGAAGTGAACTTTATGTTATTGGAAGTAGTCATATAAAAACTTGGCATTTCCTAAGAGAGATGTAGTACCAAAAAAAAAAAAAAAAGAATAAGGAAAATGAAGAAGATCTCTAAGGTCTTATCTGACTATATTCTACTCTATCCCTCGAATGCACTGTCATCCTGCTAAAGCCAGTGAGATTTCAGCTTTTTGATTACTGGAGATGTGTTCTCCGACGTTCACTCCTTATCCCATCATTTGAATGTTTGACCCTGCTCTAAGCCCTTTCTGTTTCAATTTTTTGCCTAAGACTTTCCATAGTCCTGTGCCCTGGTGTCAGATGGCTTGAGTCTGAATTCCAGTTCCACTATTGACCATGCATTTGAATTCCAGAACGTTACACACATTGATTAAGTCTCATTTGCTTTATCTGTTGAAAGCATATAACGAAAACACCTCTTTCAAATGGTTGTCCTAAGTCTTCAATGGTGCTATCCACATACACTGATTAGTGAAATGCTTGGCCATGGTAAGGACCTAGTAGACATTAGTTATATTTTCACATATTTAGAAGCCCAGGCCACTGCAGTTATGTTAATAATTAATATCAATTCTATTTTCTACATCTCTTAAGCTCTAAATTTTTTGAAAATTTTCAAATATATATGTATATATTTTTACTGAATTGACTTGTTCTGTTTCTTAATTTGTATTTGGAACATACTTTTATGCATGTAGTTCTATTTTCTTACTAATATTGCATAGTCAGGGATGCAGTCTTATGAGCTACTGTATAATAATGAACAGCAGATGTTTTCAAAGTTAGCAGATACTGATAGCATACAAATGGCAGTTTGAGGGCCAAAGGTGTACAGCTCAGTGGTACAGTGATTGCATAACATGTACAAGGCCCTGAGTTTGATTTATAGCACCCCTTCATCCTGCCACCCCTGCCAAAGGGCCGTTCTTTGGAAGCCTTCAGACTTCAGAACTTATGGAAGTTGAAAAAGAATGATGTTGAATATTTTCCCCTCCCCTTACTCTAAAGAAAACGATAGCGAGAACATAACAGGTGTTTAATAAACTGTTCTTTCATTGAGCAAACACTGTAGAAAGTTTATGAAGACATGAGAGATGTGGACTCGCCCATAGTCATTTATAAGCAGAATAACTCGTAACCCTGGTAGGGAAAAAGCCAGTTTCTTAAAATTACAGAATCAGCTCTTTAAAATTGCATTCCTAAAATGCCTAAAAGCTCTTATGGGTAAGAAAATGGGAGACCTTGGTGACAGCCATTGTTTCTGCAGGATATATTGTTTTTTACTCCCAATGTTGTTTCTAAATACTTCATCTTCTAGGCATAGATCATTATTGAAATATAGCACATTATTCAGAATTGAAGGTGCATACATTTACTATATTTATCTTGCATATCCTGTAGACATACATATTTTTTTTCCATTGTCAATGTTCTGAAGTTCCTGACTGGCCCCTATGGGGCTGCATAGATGGTGACACAGTTTCAGCTGCCAGTCTTTAGTTCCAACCCCAGCAGACATTTCTCAATGTGGTTGACCATGGATGAGGGAATCGTGGTCCATATGTGTTTCATCTACCTTTGGGTGGCTGCCATCACATGGATTCCTGGCAAGTGAATAAGGTTCAGTTTAAAGACCGTTTTAATCAGACAGTAGAGGAAATGATGAATTCACTCCTGTCTTTGGTCAGTTTTGAGAGACATCAGTATTTTCCATCGTCTTTCCTCTCTACATATCTTGGGTACATGAAACAACATTAGAAACACATTTGAAAGCCTGGAGCACTGGAAATGTGTTAAAAGTCTAAGGTTCTGGTGGGTGCAATGGCATAGACCTATAATCCTAGCAACTCAGAAGGCTGAGGCAGGAGGGTCACAAGTTCAAGGTCAGCCTTAGCAACTTAATGAGACTTTGTCTCAAAATAAAATAAAAAATAAATAGGACTGAGGATGTAACTGTGGTAGAGCTACCCTGAGTTCAATCTTAGCACCAAAAATCAAACAAATTTCACCTTGAGCATTTACGTGTTCTGATTTAAGTGTCCTTGGATGTATTACTTATTTGCAAGAAGCACTCTAGGCTGTGATTAACTCTTTACCTTCGATATTTGGGCCACCTGCTGTATAAGATCATCTAAATGAATTTTTCCATGAGATATTTCCTCTCCTTCACCTCCCACTAATACCATGGTGGTGGATTTGTTTAAAAAAAAAAAAAGTGGTACCAGAATATTTAATGGTAAAATCAGATTCAATAAAAGCAGAGGTGGAAAAAGGAAAACTAGTTGCTTCACTTTTAACACACATGTTTTCCATAGACACTGGCTTTCTTCTGTTTTCATAATTACAATTTCAGGCAGCGTCCCTCCACCCCAGGACGGTTATCGCATTTGTGGGCTACCCGTTTCCTGTGCATTTCCTTCCTCCAGCCCACCTCTTGGCCACATTAACATTACTCCTTGTCACAATCGATAGCACAGGTGGTCACAGTAGGTTTTGAAAAGAAAATGAAATGGAAACCTGTCAAGGTTGCTTTGTGTTAAATTAAAATATTTGGTGAGGAAAGGCCACACTCTTGGCCAGAGTCAGACTTCTGAAAAAAGTAGGTATTTCAGAAATTGACACCATTGTTTATGATCATTCTGTTAACAGAGCTTTAGGGGGCTGGGTGTCTCTGAAGAGGTGAAAGCAGTCAGTGTAATGGCAGCTTTGGGCTTGGAAGTAAAGTTGAGAATATGCCCTTTTTTCTGATCTATAATTAACCAGTATTTCGAAAATCCTAGATTAGACTTAGTTTTATTCAGTCAGGGAGATAGAATTCACACACCATCAATAGTTCTTTGGAATTTAGCTAGAAGAAGTTGAATTGTGTAGAGCAGTGTGCATGCATGTATGTATGCATGGGCACACATGTGTGTTCCTAAGGTCAAAGAAGAGGAAAAGATAAAATAGCCAAAGAAGGCTTTGTGAAAGGAGGTGGGTCCAGAGTTGTGTCCAAAAAACTGAAGGAAGGAAGGGAAAGGAATTCAGATCAGTAAAGTAGATAGCAAAGCATATATGTACAGGGCCTCAGGTGTCAGGATCAGAAGTGAGGATGTAAGGAAACATGCCAATTTTCATAAAAATATAAGTCCTATTCCCTATGAAATTGATGTCTGTCTTGAATGCGTGGGTACCCTGTTTTTGTAGAAGGAATCTTTTATTCTATTCAAATGTGTTAATAGCATTCAATAAGACTCTGTCTAATTTAGTGAACAAAATCATGTCCAAGACCACTGGAGGCATCTGTCACTGGTTAGCATTCGATTTGCGGGGAAGAGGTTTGGAAAGAAAGGAGCTTCTCTTTGGGGTTTACCTAGAATCAAAACCCAGTCATGGCCAACAAAGCCCTCAGTGATCCAGCCTTGCCTCCCTTTCTAGGCTGCATTCTTCTGCACTGTTCTTTCCAGAAATAATCACCTTGTTTCTCACTAAGCGCGAGATAACAGTTTTTCACTGCCTACAGGATGCCTGCCCCCAGGTACTTGGGCAGACCACCTCTTTCTCATTAGTCTTGTCTCCACTCGAATTTCACTTTCTCAGAGACTGAAGTCCTTTTTCTGACCATCCCACCTGAAGAAGTATACTGAGACCCCTAATCATTCACCGCAATAGCACCCTCTTTAAGTACGGAAAAACCAAGATCACTTATTTGCTCCTTTATTTTCTATGTTCTGCCCTTTAGGCCAAGGACCTCAGTCAGGCACCTTGTTCAAAGCTGTACGGCCTGGTAGTAGGCACTCAATAAAGTGTGTGTTAAATGAATCAGTGGCAGTCGGGTCTCTGTTGTGCTTACAGCATAGAAAGCTTGGCATTCTTTGCCATCCCTAAATGCTGAACTGTTTGTTACAGGAGGAAAGGAGTGAATGGCTACAGGCCTGGGGTGGCTGGTGTTGCCATGGCATCATAGAGCAGCACATTTCTTTGCCTTAATTCCTCTCTGGAGCCTTAAGAACCTGGAAAGCAGCACCACTCAGAGGGGATATTTCAAAGAGATGGACTTTAAAGGAACAATGGTGTGGGTTGGACAGTTGCTAGTAAATCGTATCAGGAAAAGCTGCTGGCTCAATTTCCTTTTCAGTATGGATGTACGTTGTAGCCATTGAAGAATGACATTTCTGCACATAATGAATCAAGGTTCCATGTTTTACAGCCTACTCCTTGAAACCCTCACATGCATTTTCTTGTGTAGAGCACTTTTCTGGACTTTGCACTATTTTTTCCCCCTTCTTAAAGTATTACTGATTGAGTCTATTTATCCTAATACATTATGGTAGAGCAGCCGTTGTTAATTTAGTGAAAGAAGTTTGGAAAACCTGTTATTTTTTCTCATTCATGGGTTTCTCATAGTAGCACATCTTTGGCTAACTGTACAAAAGACACCTGTGTGAGTTCCAGTGCAGCTGAATTGGCTCCTAGATGCCTGGCTAAGTATAAAAGTATATGTTCTTCAGTTACCTGGTTTGGGTTTATAAATGAAATTTTACAATGACTATGACTCATTAATACATGCTAACAATAAATGATATCTTCCTTATGACGTTTTTGAGATGTATTTTATTTTTATGTTTTTCCAAAGGATTTATGGTACCAGAACAGATCGCAGCTGGTGGCAGATTCTTACTTGCCTTTCCCACATCTCTCTTTCCCATCTTCCCCTGTTATTATGCTGGGAGTCCTGCTTCTGTGCTACCAGGCAATCTACCATATTGCTATTAATTTAATGTGTTGTCTTAACAAATGGATAATTCCCCTGTCTCCTCACTATTTAGTAATCTGCCATGTCTTCTTCTTTCTTCAGCACTGCAGTGACAACACACATCCCTGCCAATCAGATATGAATATTGAAGGAGCCTGGAAGAGAGGATACACAGGAAAGAACATTGTGGTGACCATCCTGGACGATGGCATTGAGAGAACCCATCCTGATCTGATGCAAAACTATGTGAGTGTTTGCTGCGGTCGGAAGTGTCCCCTCCTTGGAAGGAGGAGGACCCATGTTAGGATTATCAGAAAGGGGGATTGCTACTGAACAATGTAACAACAGATACAATAGGCTCTGTGTTTTACTTCTTTCTTGTAAAAAGTGAGCTCTTAAAGTACAGGAAGCGTGAGATAACAGTTTTTCACTTTTGGGTGCCCTTGATACTGTGACCTACAAAAAGAAAGTAATCAGGGAGCAGAAACTCCACCACCAACACCATCTGCCACCAGCAACACCTGCTCTTCTCAACCATTCAGCCAACCAGCCAGGTGACATCTTTTGTTTCTTTTATGGGGAAAAAAAAGTAGACTTAGAATTATTCTCAAGTTATTTTGCTGGTACCTTTCTTTCGCTCCGCTACTATTTTTTGCTTTTAAACTTTTCAGTTGTAAATGGACACAATACCTTTATTTTATTTATTTTTATGTGGTGCTACAGATCAAACCCATTGCCTCACAGGTGCTAGGCAAATACTCTACCACTGAGCCACAATCACAGCCCCTCTGCCTCTCCTCTTTTAAGGATAGTAGTGATTAGCCTCCCAGTAGTCTGTAGGAATCGTCAGTCTCCCTTCGTAGGAAGGAACTGCAGATTCATTTAGTTCTCCTTTGAACAAAAAGAGATGAGTGACAGCAGGCTATCCTCACCCTGCATTCAAGCCACCTCCACAGCACAGAATTTTGAAGCTTAAAAGGAACTGCAGTTTAATCTCCTCATTTAATGGGTAAAGAAATTGAGGCATAAAGACTGAAGGGAGTAATCCAAGGTCAGATATAGAATCAGAACTATGGCTGCCTATGCTTCAGCAGAGATGTCTTTCTCGTCACATGCACGGAGGATTTTGCAGTGTGCTGCTGTTCCCCCGCTACAGACATCTACTTTTGATTATATATGAAAAGCCTTCACTTAATGTGATTGCAATCTTTACCTTTTTTCTTATTTTCTCTTGAAAGAAAATTCTCTAAAATTACCTGTATAATTAGCAGTGCTGGTTCCCTTTGAGTTCTTATGTTCGAGCTGGAGGGGAGTAGGGAAAACATACTAGAGGAGGTATCAGAAGACCTGGGTTCCAGTTTTTGTTTGGTTCATTCAAAAACAAGATAGAAATTAACCTGTTTGAGTCCTCTGTTTTCTTATAACTAAAATTGTTATATTGGAGTCAGTGCAGAATCCTTCATGTTTTCATGGCCACAAAGAGCAGTTACAGGGCCCCCTTTGTACAGGAAGCAGAAGCTTACCAGCTTTACACGTAATATATTTTCCTGAATCCCCTCAAACATTTCAAGTTCTGTGCACTAAAAGTTATTTCAGAAACATGAGCCTTTTGATAAATACAGAAAATAAAGATTTTGCAAACATTGACACTAGGAATCATAAGGCATAAGGAAATTTCAAATATCTTAAAGTAAGCTGTCTATGGTGGTATAAATTTGAACGATGGTAATGATCCAGTAAATTCTTCATAGTTTCTGGAAATTTTTCATGAGTATTTTTTAAAATATGTTTTTTGGATGTTGGTGGACCTTTGTTTTATTTATTTATTTATATGTGGTGCTGAGGATCGAACTCAGTGCCTCACACATGCTAGGCAAATGTTCTACCACTGAGCCACAACCCCATCCCTTTCATAAGTATTTTTTAGAAAATATTTTTTAGCTATAGACGGATGCAAAATCTTTATTTTGTTTATTTATTTTTATGTGGTGCTGAGGATCGAACCCAGTGCCTCACATGTGCGAGGCAAGCACTCTGCCACTGAACCCCAACCCCAATCCCATCATAAGTATTTTTAAAAGCAAACAAATCTAACTTCGGTTTTGGAGGTTCTGTATCCTCATTTTGTAACCTCAGCATAAGAAAACTTTATTCATCATTTTGGTTGGTCCAAAAGCCCTTGAGTATTAGTAAAGTCTGAATTACAGGCTTCCTTTTTTACAATATCTGAATGCAGACAAATGTTTAATAGGGGTCCCAAGGTACTTAATGGAATAAATATCTAATATTGATTTTTAGTTGGCTTGCCAATTATATATGAATAATTTTTGCCTTCTAAAATCCTTAATTATGATAAAGAAGTTAACAAGTTCAAAAATTCAAGTAAGGAATAGGGAGTGAATCTGGAGAATAAATCACTTTGCTTCCAGGTATTTGAGGAGTACTTAGTGGAAAAGGACATGTTTGAAACACACACATTTCATGACCTGGGTCATTCCAGGTGCACTGGGAACAGTGATGGCATAATGAAGCAGGATCTCCTTGGTCTGTTTTGAACACTTCTTCACCCTGAGGGGGAGAATGCAGCATTGATAATTACTAAACCAGCAGACCCTCCCTAAGGCATCCTGACACCAGTGAACCATGAGTTATTAGTTAACCTAATTACTCTCTAGCAGAAATGTGTTTCAGATTGCGGGAGCCCGTCGGTCACTGGCTAATTAATGACTCTCCATTTCTTTTCTCTCGCTCTCTCCTCCCTGGCCATAGGATGCTCTGGCAAGTTGTGATGTGAATGGGAATGACTTGGACCCAATGCCTCGTTACGACGCAAGCAATGAGAACAAGTAAGGCTCAAGTCAAGGGCGGTGGCAGGAGTTAGGTTTTCTGTTCCTGCTAAGGGAAGTATGTTCTTGAAAGGCTTGGTAACCAATGGGCCTAATTTACTGCAAAATGAAAAGGTGTCTTTTCAGCAAAGTTTCTGAGTAATAAAAAGGAGAGGTTCACAAATTAAGAAAGGTTGCAGAGAGAACCCTCAGCATTTCCATATCTTGAAAATTGAATTGGAGGACATCACCCTCACCGACCTCACCCCATTTGTTTAAAGATAGTGGTGCTAATGGGAGAGGCAAAAGTACCCCCAAAGAGAGTTACTTGATTCTCCTAAATTCAACAAATTTGATGGGCTACTACATTTGAGGCCGCTATCCGGGGGCTTTATTATTTTGTTTCTCCTTTGCTCCCTTCTCTGTGATTAGGTTTCCACTAATATATAGGAAACACTTAGAAGAATTGTTACCATCTGGGGAATGTATTGCCTTTCTATGTCCTTTCACAACCAAGAGGCCCATTTCCACTTTCCAGTTCCTATACTCGTTTTTAGTGAATGCGAATGAAATAGTACATCCATTAGATGATAGATTATTTTAACATTCCTCAGTAAGTCAGTGTGAGTTGTTTTTCTTACTTATAACGAATCAGATTCTTTTAGTTGGTATTTCTAAACAGTATATCACATTAATTAACATTCCCTCCACTTTTACTGAAAATCTCCTCTAGGATAATGCTGTGATTTAGATATTTTCATGTGAACGTTTATTTACCTGTTTTAGGCTGGAATCACAAAAGTTGTAAGGAAAATGGCCCTGCTCATCTATTATGTGCTATTTGCAATCTCCTTTTTTTTTTCCCCCTAGGGGAAACTTCTCAGCTCGTAGTATTTAAGTAAGTCAATACATTTAGATAAACGCATAAGACCTAGAAAAATTGTGACTATGCATGTGCTTTTTTTTTCCCCATCTACAAAGAAGTCTTAACAAAGTAGCTGTAGAAATATGCTATTTGTTAATATTAACAACCAAGTTAATATGACTGTGGTGAAAGCTTTAATATACAAATTGACATAAACTTTTCCAGAACTTCCGAACAAAACAAGAAAGTGGCTAAATTAAACTGGATAGTTTCCTTTCAGACCTGATTGTTATTGTCTAGATTGTAATGTTGAGTGAATTTTACACAAGGGGTTAGAGTTTCAGACAACAAGAGCTGATGTTTTTTGTCCTAATTTATAAACTAGCATGAAACAAAGAAAAAGAGACTTGAATCACTCAGTACTTAAAAAGGCACTAATAGTTTGCATGTGTGGGAATATGGAACATATCTGCCGTCCTCTCAGTTTTGCTGTGAATCTAAAACGTTTCAAAAAAATAGTCTTAATAAAAAAATAACACTGATAAATTTCAATATATAGTTTGTTCTCCTGTCATGCTACATATGCATTCCTGATATGCACTCCTAAAAACAATAGCACTCTGTCAAATCCTAAAACACAGAGTGATGAAAACATTGAGTTGGAGTCTAATACTCAAACATCATCAGTCTCTGTCTCTGTCTCTGTCTGTCTCTCTCTGTCTCTCTCTCTCTCTCTCTCTCTCTCTCTCTCTCTC